GGAGGGCGCGTTATTATACGCGAATTCCAGCAGCAGAAGGGATTTCTCGCATGTCTGTGGGTCAGTACAGGTAGTTCGAATGAGTTGCTCCATTGTTTGGTTGACTCGTTTGGTCTGCCCGTCGGTCTGTGGGTGGTAGGCGGAGAAAAACTGTAGTTTGGTGCCGAACTGGTCCCACAGGTGGCGCCATAAATTCGATGTGAATTTCGGGTTGCGGTCTGAGATAATTGTGGTAGGCAGTCCATGCAGTCGAATAACGTTGGCGATGAACAGTTGGGCAGTTTGCTCAGCTGTAATTGTCTGTTGGCAGGCGATAAAGTGCGCCATTTTCGTGAGTCGGTCGACGACCACGAGGATGGCGTCGTTTCCGCTGGGACCGACTGGCAGTCCTGTCACGTAGTCCATCGTGATGTGTTGCCAGGGTCGCTCGGGTGGATCCAACGGCTGTAGGAGTCCGGCTGCTCGCTGATGGGAGGATTTCATGATGTGGCAGACGGTGCAGGAGGACACGTACTTGCGCAAGTCGTTGGCCATGTTCGACCAATAATAGTTGCGCTGCAACGTCTTCGTAGTTTTGTCGACGCCAAAATGCCTTGAGGTAGGGTTGTCGTGGGATTCCTGTATTAGTAGGGTACGAAGTAAATCGTAGCCACGCACCCAGATGCGAGAAGTATCGCGCTTATTAAAATAGTGTTTGGTGGCGGTGGTATGGTGTTGATGAATAGCAGAGCGGAAGAAAGGGTCGATCTTGTAGCCGTAGGTAAATAGTCCGGTAAGTAGTGGGTTGGTTTGGGCGACTAGTATGGCGGCGGTATGGGCAGTGGGTCAAGTCAGGGCATCGGCAATATTGTTGGCGCCCCGTTTGTAGGTGATGGTATAATGGAAATTCGACTCGAGGAAATCGAGCCATCGGATCTGTCGTGAGTTAAGATTCGGTTGGGCGCGCAGGGACTGTAAGGATTTGTGGTCGGTTCGCACCGTGACGTCAGCGCCTGTCAGGTAACACCGCCAGGTCTTAAGCGCGTGGACAATCGCCAGTATTTCCTTGTCGTGTATCGTATAGTTTTTTTCCGCGCCCTGCAGCTTCCGTGATTCGTAGGTGACTGGTTGTAATCCGTCGCCGAAAACCTGTAGGAGAACTGCACCAATGGCGATGTCGCTGGCGACGGTGATGACTTCGTATGGACGGTCAGGATCGGAGATGCGAAGGACGGACGGGGACGTGAGGGTGATCTTCAGTTGGTCGAATGCAGCTTGCTGCTTCTCTCCCCACAAAAAAAAATAGTGATCCTTGAGTCTGTTCTGTGATGTCATCATATGCTATCACATTCTGTCTGCCTCCCATCCCATGTTTTCAACTTGCATGCGTGGTTTGAACGAGTGAAAGTATTTGTGTGTGGTGTGTTCTGGAGTTTGGGAATGTGTTTTGTGTTATTTTTGTTTGAGCAGGTATTTTTGATGATAGATCTTGAGAAGGTCTTTCCGACGCAACAAGAATCCCTTCAATCGGAGCAAGAACACGAAAGCTATGAAGATTCAAAGTTCATGAGCTTGCGTTACAATTGCGGCGGTTACAAAGTGAAGTTGTGGGGTGACTCTATATGGAGTTGGGACCTTTGGGGGTTGGGGAAATTTGTCACTCTACTGTAACAGCTGCAAATTGGTTGGGAACAACCAAGCTAGGTTGGCAAGGGTGGCCAACTTGGATAGATTGGTTGGGAAGGGACAAATGTCAAAGTTGGGGTTCTTATAGGGAGGGAATCTTTGTGCTTATGGGGTTTCCTTGGTTGGGGACTCTCTTGGAACATTCCCTCTCATCCCTCTCTTCTATCCCAATCTTTCACTTGCTCCTCTAATTCCTTGTGAGATTATTGAACTTTGATTGAACTTTTGAGATTGAGTTAAGTTCTCCTCCTACAGCTTACCCCCCAGTGCGTCGAAAGACATAGCGTCGCGAATACTCCATCAATCGATGTGATTCAAATTGAGAAGGGTAGCTAAGATTACAGGCTACAACATATCCGAGTTTCGCGACATTCCAACAGCTAGTTTTTTGTCGACGTTGTTTCTTGTGAAGACGACTTTTCTGTCATGAATTTCAGATTTATATTTTGAGTAATTCTAGCTCCTAAGTTCACCCAGACTCCGTCCTTAATCCTATCAGAGTCGGCCAGTGAGCGGGGCAGATAACCCAGCCATATTCGGGATAAATCGGCGGACGTAGTTGACGAAACCCAAAATACTCTGCAGCTCCTTGATGTTGGTTGGCGACTTCCACTCCTGTATGGTCTTGATTTTCTTGGGGTCGATTTTCACTTCTTCGGTAGAAACGACGTGGCCTAAAAACTCCAAATCTTGTTTAAGAAAGTCGCACTTAGACCCTTTCGTGATGAGGCGATTCTTGTGCAGTAGCATGGAGACTGCATCAAGATCCTGTAAGTGCTGCTCCGTGCTGCGGCTGTAGATTAGTATGTCGTCGAGGTAGTTAGTAATGCATTTATCCAAGAGTTCCATGAAAATGCTATTCATGGTCATCTGGAATGTCGAGGGGGCGTTCTTGAGGCCAAAAGGCATCACTAAGTATTCGTAGCTGCCGTAGCGAGTACAAAAGGCGGTTTTGTGACAATCTTCGGCGGCGACGCGAATTTGATGGTAACCTCCTCGCAAGTCGATTTTCGAGAAGAACTTGGCTCCGCGAAGTTGGTCGAGTAGTTCGTCAGCTCGCGGGATCGGGTAACGCGACTTGATTGTGATCCTGTTGAGTGCGCGGTAGTCGATGCATATGCGGAATCCTCCATCTTTTTTCAGTGTGAACAGTATCGGGGCGGCGTATGGGGACGTGCTGGGCTGGATAAATCCCTTCGTCAGAAGGTAATCCAGTTGCTGCTGCAATTCTTCCAGTTCTGGTTGGCTGAGTCGAAATTGTCGCTGTACTGTCGGTTGGGCGCCTGGTTCCAGCTCGATGCGGTGGTCTTCTGGTCGGCTTGGCAGAAGTCCAGCGGGCAGGTCGTCCGGGAAAATCTCGGAGTATTTGCGAATCAGCTCCACTACATCCGGAGGAACGACTTCGCGATATCTTCGGCTGTTGTCGTCGACGTCACCTCGCGAAGATCAATGGCGTACGCTGCAGCTCCCGCTTTGATCGCGCGCTTGAAAGTTATTGCATGGACTTGGGTGCTTCGCATGCGAGGTCCCGTCCATTTCTGTAGCTCGAGGGGGATCCCATCGAGTTTAATGCTGCAGCCTCCCGTCGTCTAGTCGATCTTCGCGTTGTACTATCGCAGCCAATCCCGTCCCAGCAGCACGTTGCAACCGTCGAGTGTAGTCGCCAGCTGCCCCATCCGAAATTTTACGTGCTCCCCGCAATGAAAACTGACGTTCTCCACTCACTCCCGTACAGCCAGCGGTGTTCCATCCACTGGTTGGGCGTCAATTTCTGGTAGACACTTGAGTAAGGGAATACCCAATTTTTTAGCCTTGTCTAGCTGTATGAGACTGTGACTCGCGCCTCCATCCACGAAAATCTTCAGCAACACTTCGTTGACTTTACCCTCCACCAACACAGGGTGATCAGCAGTTTCGTCCCCCTTATTTGTCCGGGTCCGGTCGATTGCAGCAATCGGGATCACGACCCGGTGGGCACTGTGTGGCTCGGGCGAAGAAGCCTACCCGTCAGTAAGGAGCCCGGTACTTACTTACGCGACCCATTTCCTTGTCGCTCCTCCGGCTTCTTCCCCATAGAATTATGGATGGCGATAAATTCTTGGCAGTTGCGTCGGATGTGACCCGGTCGGCCACTGTGGTAGCATAGCCCCGTATTTCACGGAGAAACTGCGTAAATATCCACTGCGTCCACCCCTTTTATCGTGGCGCGCTGGTACTATTTTCGAGGGCGACCTCCATCGTAGAAGTTCGTGCTGACCGCTCGTGCTGTCCTTCTGTGCGAGTTGCCGCTGAGTCGACGATGACCTTCCACCAATGTAGGGTGGCCCCTTGCAATAGTGTTAACGCGTGGCTGATTCGCTTCTGATCGTCTCGGATGCTCGCCACGTTAAAATAGATATTCTAAGCGAATATCCACTGCCGCACCGTCACGCCTTTATTAGCTGGGTCGAAATGAGCGGGTTGCTGATATCTCACGCCACCACTTGTCGAGCGCGGGGCTGTTGCCGCTAGTCGTGCCAGCTCCATTGGCGACGGTTGCTGCTCACCCGCCTCGCTTCGTGCATCGTCACCTGGCTCCTCCGAACGCCTTTCCTACACCTGGCGAAGTCGTTGGTTCTCGTCGTGGAAAGTGTTGTTGACGACGCTTGTCAAATTATTCAACTGCTCCATTAATGTTTGCAGGTCCACAGTTTCCTGGGCAGAGTTCGCAGCAGTCGAGGTCGTCTGTTCCTCAACCGTCGAGTCTACCGGGGCCATGGCGGTCAGGACGGGGCAGAAGCTAGCGCACACGCTGTAGTTGTTGACGTAAAAATAATTACGATCGAAGACAACTGCTATGCAGCGGTACTAATCCCCTCTGACCACCTTAACTAATTAAGCAGGAAGCGGAAGGTTCTTGGAAAGCTCAAGCTGTGATACCAGGTGTTATGATACAGGAAGTGTCAATGTACTAATACGTGAAAATACAAGGTCACTATTGCAATGAAGGCTTATATAGGAGTTGGCGTGCTAGGGCGATAACATCGGAGCGTGGGTAGGTTCGGCGATGTGGCGACAGTGCCGGACGCGACTCGGGAAAGGGTTGGGCCGATAAATGAGGCCGAACTTGACGAGTCGAGGAGTTCGGGTGTACGTGCTAGCATACGACTCAGTAAGGAATGACAATTTCTTACAGGATGCATTACGCGTTACACACCCGAATTTCAAATTTACACTGCTGATGGAATAACACTATTACGCAAATTTCAGTGCGATGGGGTACTGTCTGACCGAGAAAAAAAGTTCTTTCAGAACTGCAAAACCGTGGCTGTTTGAACGCAGCTGCTCCGCTCGAACAGGTGTATTCAATGTCAGGAAGGGCTGAAACGACATGTGCCGAAACGAATTCTGATGTGTATTACTGGCTGAAACACGATGTGCCGATGTGTCTCCGCAAAAGTACTATAAACGAGCCACCCACCGTTCAGATCAGAAAACCACGCGAATGTTCATGTTTTAGAACTGCTCGTAATGCGTCAGATTAGAAAGACGACGTTTCTAGGTTGCGAGAACAAATCGTAACCGTACAGATCAGCAGCTCAATGTTGCTGATCTGTCAGCAAATTACCCTAGAATATTAGCGAGGTTTTCTGACTTGAACGGTGGGTGGCTCGTTTTCAGTATTTTTGCGGTGACACATCGACACATCGCGTTTCAGCCACCAATACACATCAGAATTCGTTTTGGCAGATCTCGTTTCAGCCCTTCCTAACGCGAAATACACTGGCTTTTTTTTTATTAAGTGCACACATATTTCCTAGACACTCTATATTGTTCGCTACCTTAGAAAACCAGTCGCGCAGGAAGAAAATACACATTAATGAAATATTAAGCCCCTTCCCAAGCTTGAAAATTCCAAAACAAAACAACATATAAATAGCATTTTGCACATATATAAGAAGCAAAAACCTATTTATAATAGTAAAATGTAGGCTGTATAAAAATGCATTTTGAACGATTGTATTCTCTGAATTATTCACGCTTGAGAAGGGGAGCATGATATTTCGTTCAAGTACAATTGCATTGCGCAACTAGTTTTCCAAGGAATCGAGGCGATTTAGATTGTCCATCAAATATGTTTACAGTGTATAAAGAATAACAAGTGCATTGCGCGTCAATTCTGGCTCAAACGAGATGTGCCCAAGAAATTATGATGTGTATTACTGGCTGAAACGCGATGTGGCGATGTGTCACCGCAAAAATACTGAAAACGAGCCTTCCACTGTTCAGATCAGAAAACCTCGCTCATGTCCATGTCTGAGAACTGCTCGTAATGCGTCAGATTAGAAAGATGACGTTTCTAGGTTGTGAGAACCAATCGTAACCGTACAGATCAGCAGCTCAATGTTGCTGATCTGTCAGCAAATTACCCAACTTCAAACGCGCGGGTACTGTATGAGTTCAGCCACATCAATCTGAACAACCACGAAGCCACACCCTGTAACCCTACCCATCTACGCTTTCGCCCAACTGCAAAGATGACTGCCCCGCGCTCCCGTTGCCTGCCTTGCCTGCACAGGAGGGCCCTAATTTCGCTCGACATGAAGCACCTGTAACATGACCCGTTTCATCCGGGTTAGAAGTCTCTCGTGCTGGTCACCTTAGGTTACACCGCAACCGACACACCCAGGCTGCCCGAAATAAATGACTAGTGTTCGGCTGCTCCCGTCCCGGAAGTGGACAAGCCCTTTTTGCGCGGCGTTTTGCCCGGAGGATACATGCACGCAGCGCGCAAAAACTTTGCGTGCTTGAATCGCAAAACATTTGTAGTTGCCGGCCACGCGACGTAGTTCAGAAACGCCTCGGTGATAACGACGGCATTCCGTTGCCGGCGTATGCAATGATTTCTGGTGCAGCTGCGTGCAACATTTTCAGTTCCTCGACGGTTGATGGCAGCAGCCGCCGCGTTCCCATACGCGGAACCCAGCGACGGCAAGTAGTTGGAAGCGCGACAATCAAAGCCAGGGACCCAAGTTTCTAGAACCTGGGGCAAGTGTTTTACAGTTAGTTGGAAAAAAAAAAAAAAAAAAAACAAGAGGCGACGAGATCGTCTTAGGGTTGCGGAGCATTTCATGATGAGACTTTATTATACATAAAATGTTTTATTTCCACCACAACAAACATTTGTTTTTTATTTCACAAACTTGAAAAAAAAAAACCAGCCCGATCGATTGCAATAGGTTGCTCCGCAACAAAAAAAAAAACAGGTTTTGTGTTGTGAGGGTGCGTGAATTGCAACATTCGCAGGCGATTTCACTGGTGCCTACAGCTCGCTGGCCAAACAGTAGTTTTAGTCCCAACCAACTGTTTTACAGTTGGTAAACTTCCCAGGACCGTTCCATGACAGAGCCACCGAGGCAATACCCTTGTTGCCCGAGTCACGTCTCGGTTCACTCACAAAAGCTTCCCGCATCACTTCTGTTTCTAGCACGGGCAACCGCACGCCCGTTTCTAGAACATGGCCCGAACTGTTTCCAGAGAAGACAACGGCAGCAGTGGAACTTGCCAGCCATGACAGCATGTCATATTTCGTCCGCCCGGTATTTTGGAAACTACAAATTGATAAAGTACAAATTCAGCCCCCAGGTATTTTGAAAAAGTACAAATTCAGCCCCCCGTCGCAATCTGCGTATGCCAAAGTGGTAACATTCCAACACACTTACAATCCCATTCTTCCCGTGGCGAGGTGCGCGAAGTGTCGGGGACGCTTTCAGTCCCAGCCGCCCAAAAACATGGGGTGACTGACTCGGGCAACAAGGGTATTTTGTTCGTCCCAGACTAGGTGCCTTGCAAGTGGTCACCATTTCCGTCTCACACGTCCCAAAATACCAGGACCCTAAGTTCGGAGTAGCTACACTAGGTACGGCATAGGTACGTCTGCTACGGAGTAGCTTTGCTACACGAACAACTAGACCTACAATATAGGTGAGATCCACATTTCCGTCTCAGTGAGACGGCTGCAACAAATCTCGACCAAGATTCTGCTCGAGAGTCCGATGCTTGGAGTCCGAGTGGAAGTGGTCCCAGGTCGTGCACGGTTGCAGATTCTTGAGAATGGCCTGCGAAGCTGGTTGTGCTATTTTTGCGTCTGAGTTTCGAATCACATGCTGTAATTCGCTCGATACGAAAGACAGCCATGGTGTATTCCCGAAACACGACGGACGCAGCTTCCTTCTCCAAGGCGTGGTCCAGAGATGTGAGTTTCCCCACGAATGCACAAGCCGTTTTTACTGGGTCCGCCTTGAGTCTGTAATTAGTAGTGGTTTTGAAGGGCTAAGGTCGCGTCAAGAGTTCCTTGGTCAAACACGCGCGAGAATCAGCACATGACCTCAAGATATCGTTATGCTCTTGATCTGGATTCTTCTCAACGATTGCATACACTATCGCCATGGCAGGAGGACGCCGTTCTGCTGTGCCATGCGCTGCACTGCGGCACAAGACGGTGGGGAGAGCTGACAACGAGCGGAAAGCTAAGGAGGAACAACAAGTCGTGCTGTAACCGTTACATCTTCCTCAGAAGGTAGTAACCTGCACACACAGTCGTTTTCTGCGTTTATATGACATGAATAAGGCCAAGAACATTCCAACACATTGCTCTGCGCCCTTCTTTTGGCAGGAGGTTCAGTCAACACCTTCAGCCGCACCTGTGGAAGGAGAACAACCAACGCAGTGCATGCCTGCTGCCGAGTCCCTTGGAGGGACAGAACCAGTTGCTGCGCCACGCCCAGCCACAGCCGCGGCAGCAGCAACAGCAGCAGCAGCAGCTGCATCGGACCCATCAGCTGGGTTGCGTGGGTTCACCGGGGTCGCCATGGCCTGGTCTTGCTTTCGGTGGGCTGTCGTTTGAAGAGTGCAAGAGCGTCTTCCTCTCACCTAATGCCTGCCGCCCTACAGCCCAAGCCCACCCCTCGTCTGATTTCAGCCCTGCTGCTCCCTCCGATGCTGCTGTCTTCATCCCTGCTGCTCCCTCAAATGCTGCCGCCTTCAGCCCCGTTTCTGTTTCCCATGCTGCCGTCGTCAGCCCTGCTGCTGCCTCCCAAGCTGCTTCTATCTCCGCTGCCGCTGCTGTCTCCAGAGCCACTGCTGAGTTCGATGCTGTGATGAGTGCATCCATCTGCGCTACCCCCGCTGTCCGCAGCCTGCCTTTGAAGCGGCCCAGAGAAGACTGCACTGGGCTTCTGGCGGACCAACCACTGCGGGGTGAAGTCAACGATGGGTTGCCCCAGTGCATGATGCAGCGTTCACATTCACTGGAAAATTATTGCGCGCAGCAGCGAGGGGAGAGGAGTCGGCAGCGGGGAGTGCGGCCTTGCATGGGGTGGGAAGGAGCCCGTGTGGATGGCTTGCTGCTGGGGAAGCACGCCGTGGGGCACCGCCAGCTGCAGGATTGGGAGTGCAGCAGCGTGCAGGCAGCCACGTGGCCTCGCGTGGGGTCGGAGAACGCCCTTCCAGACGATGTGCTGCTGGGATTCCGCTGCGAGGACTCCGGCTTCAGCCAGCGCGCCGCTCTGTCCGCGCCTCTCCTCACCCAGCCACGTGCACCACTGTCAGCGCCTCTCCCCACCCAAATGCCGGCAATGATGTCAGCTCCTCTGCCCACCCACCCACGTGCACCTCTGTCAGCGCCTCTCTCCACCCAAATGCCGGCAATGCTGACAGCTCCTCTGCGCAGCCAGCTCCCCGCTCCAGCTGGTTCCGTTTCTGGCTGCATTGGAGGGAGTGCAAGCACTGGTGGATTGGTGCTGTCCCATGCCATTGCCGTGTGCAACATGCTGGGCTACTGCTCCCTTCCGCTCTGCACGCCAGCAGCGCACCTGTGGCTACATGGTTCCTTGCCTGCCCCCCACTTGCCCGTGGTTTCCCTGCCATCAACCCTGGCCCCTTGCTCTCTCTCCCGCCTTCCCTTGGCGAGTGTGCCACACGGGCAGGCACTGCCAGCCCCAGTTGCTGGGGCAGTTGTAATCGAGTGGGCGCAGGAGCAGGGAGGGACCGGGGAGGGAGTTGGTCAATCGCACAGCCATCGACAGCAGTTGAGCGTTCGTCAGTGCGTGCAGCACGCGCACACTCCCTCCCCAGCTGAGTGTTTGTCGCACCCTCCACGGCCACAGCCACTGTCAGAGGCGCTCCTGCTGCCTCCCTGTTGTCAACAGCCAGTGGCCCCTGTATTCCCCAACACAAGCCCTCCAAGTGCAAGGCCAATACCCTCGGACCCAAGGAACTCGCATATGCGAGCTCCCATGCCTCCTGCCCTGCCGCCCATGCTGCCAGGCTCTGGGTTGCGGCAGGAGCAGTCAATCACTTCACCAATTCCCATACACCAGGCGATTGCTCCCTCGCCCTGCTTGATCCACACCTGTGGATTTGATACAGCTTCTTTGGAGGCCTTACTTGATCACGTCAACTCACATGTTCAATCCGCAGCAAGTCCAGTTCAACTGGGAGGAACAACCGATCTGAAGCTTGAGAACGATTGGGAATTGGACGTGTTTGACCATAGCAACGTTTCCTCGCATGTGTTGATGCTTCCTAGTGGGATGCCAGACTCCAAACCCTAGTCACAAGGAGAGACAAGACAGTGGGTAAGAGCACAATTTACAAGTCGACGGAAGGGATGGGTTTCAGACGGTTCTGTGGTGGTGTGGGGCAGAGGGTAGGATGGAGTGAATGGGCTCCTTCAAAGGGAGCAACACATAATCAAGCTTTCTTGCCATTCTTACATTCTTTTCGTCCAATTTACTTGCGTGGTGTACCTGATATATAGTGAAACTGCTGTGAGATGTTACTGGGTCAACAAATGTTTATATGAAGTCTTTCCCGGGAGAATTCTGGTTGTTGGCTTGGCTCTGGTCACCAACGAGGGTGGCCACAGGGTCATCATAGACCAGCGTCACAGACAAAAAGAGATTATGCATACACGTATGAGAAGATAATTCTGCTCTCCCAAGGTCAAGGCTCTCCCTGAAGGGCACACTCCGTTTAGGGTCAACCTCGGTGCTATGTACAATGCAACATCTTCTGAACGTAGTATTGAGTACAGATGGTGTCCATCCTATGCCCGGCCCAGAATCAGAACACGCGAGAAGCAAAACGAGACTCGGCTTGTCATAAAGCACAGCCGCTAACCACAGTAGCGGGTCAGCGCGCCCGTAGACCCCCAGGCATAGAGGCCTGTGGCCCTTCCGAGGATCTCTAGGTCAACCCCAGTGTGCCACTCGACACGGATTCCCGCGCCTCGGCGAACGGCCAACCCGCGCTTGCCATACCACGCCCCCGACACGAAAACTTTCCCAAAGCACCGGCAGCAGGTTCGGAAGAGCCCCTCCACATACACCACCTTCACATACAGCAGGCACGAGACCCTCTTGTGCTACAAATAAGAGCTCCACGTAGCACTCGGCACCAGCTAGGAACCCACCCCCCCCCCCCTCCCTCCCCCCATGAATTCCGTTGATGATCCAGACAAGAACCTGTCAACTTATACATACATTTGCATGTAGAAGTTATAGGCTAGAATAGGTGTATGTTCTTAGAGAGTACAAACCAACCCTATATCTTGCATGTTGTCTTTTGTTTCTATCATTCTAGTATTCTAACATGGTATCATGAGTAGGTTAGGCCCCCCCTCCCCACCCGCTTCCGCCCCGCGCCCTAGCCTACCGCGCCTCGCCGGCCCCTAGTGCGTCTGACGGCCCCTAGCGTACCCGCCGTCCCCTCGCGCCTAGCCCGCCCTTCGCGACCAGCCGGCCCCTCTCACGCCGTAGCCGGCCCCTCGCGCTTCGTCGGCCTCTTGCGCCTAGCTGGCCCCCTCTCGCGCCTCGTCAGCCCCTCGCACCGTCGCCGCCCCCTCCCCCCCCCCCCCCCCCCCCCCCCCCTTGCGCCCTAGTCGGCCCCTCGCGCCCTAGCCGGCCCCTTGCGCCCTAGTCGGCCCCTTGCGCCCTAGTCGGTCCCTCACGCCGTCGTCGGCCCCTCGCGCCCTAGCCGGCCCCTCGCGCCTAGCTGGCCCCTTCGTGACCAGCCGGCCCTCCCTCACGCCGTAGCCTGCCCCTCGCGCCGTCGACAGCACCTCGCGCCGTCGCTGGCCCCTTTCGCCTAGCTGGCCCCTCGTGCCGTAGCCGGCCCCTTGCGCCCTAGCCGGCCCCTCGCGCCGTCGCCAGCCCCTCGTGCCCAGCCGGCCCCTTGCGCCGAGCCGGCCCCTCTCACTTAGCTGGCCCCTCGCGCCCCACCGGCCCCTCGCGCCTAGCCGGCCCCTACCACCTAGCCGGCCCCTCTCCTGCGCACCGCCGGCCCCACGTGCCTTGCCGTCCCCTCTCTACGCGCTGGCCCCTCGTGCGCCTCGGCCTCTAACGCGCCCGTAGGCTCCTCGCGTGCCCTCCTCGGCCTTCCGTGCGGTTCTCGTTCCGGAGAGTCCTGCCACCGCGTCGTTGTCTCGCTGTGCAGCTGAGTCCCTGTGCCACTGTGCCGCTGTGTCCTTGTGCCGCTGTGCCGCTGTGTCCCGGTGCCACTGTGGTTGCGCGATGGCGGACGCCATGCTACGTCTGGACGTGGAGGGGCACGCGATCGACTTCGCCGCCTGGATTGTCGATCTCCGCCGGCACCTGACAGGTCTGCGCCAGGATGGGCACTCCCTGGATATGCATGTTGATGGCTTGCTTCCTCGCCCCTCCACCCCTTATCCCCTCCTTGCTGACCCCACCACTGCTGAGAGTGAGGCCTTTGCTGCTGATGCACTCGCTCGCGCTGTCTAAGATTCTCGCGATGCTGTAGCGCAGCTTGCCATTAGTTATGCGCTTCCCCTTTCTAAGCGTCCGCGTTTCACTTCTGTAGCGAACGCCAAAGAATTCTTAGATGCAGTAGTTGCACGCTACTTCATGCCTACTTCCGCCCCAGCTGGCCGCTTGATCCTCCCCATGCTCTTCTCCGATCTCTCTGCTTTCCCCACTGTCGCTGATCTCGCCACTCACCTCCATGCACTAGAGACTAGCTACCGTGCTGCTAGCACTACTTCCCAGCTCACTGCGCTACCTTGTACCTTATTGCCATGCGCCTCCCTGATCGCTTAGCCATTGCCCGCAACCACTTCCTTAGCCAGCACCCTGGTGACCTCACCCTGACCGCTTTTGTCGCTGCCCTTTCTGAGATAGAGACTCGCCAGCACACTATCGCTCAGTCGAGCAGTGTTGCGGCAGTCCCTATCTTCCAGGGCTGTGCTTCCTCTCAGTGCATGTACGCTGAAGTTTCCGTTGCGGTAGCTACGGATGCTCCTGCCCCTGAGACCACAGCGGCGGCCTTCGCGCAGCAGCAGTGTCAGCGTCGGGGCCGTCACGGCCCCAAGGAAGGGCATGGTGATGGTGGTGGTGGCGACAGTGGTCATGACGAGGGGGCTGGGGCATTTGTCCAGGAGCCCCAGCAGTCGCAACAGCAGCAGCAGCACCAGCAGCAGCAGCAGCAGCCACAGCAGCCGTGGGCCCGCCTCCCGCCAGGGTGGCCGAGAGCCCCTGGAGGTGGTGGCCGAGGTGGCAGTCCTCGCAGCTCGGCGTCTACCGGCGGCTCCGGTGCAGTGGGCTGCCAGTACCAACTCTAGACCGAGCCCCTCCTTGGCACTATGTGCTGCGCCGCCCGCAACCGACAGCCCAACGCTTCCGCCGCCTCGACGACCACTTTCGTCGGCGCTTCGGCTTCGCTCCGGACCTCCCTGACTGGCCCAGGCTTCTGCGCCACAGTGTGCATGTTTTTGACTTAGACATAGATCAGATTAGTTCTGCCTTGCATTCTCTGTATGCTGACGCTTCTAGTGTGTCCGGATCTTATAACCCTGTGTTCTCTAGCTTAGGCATAGCACCTGTGTGTAGTACAGACACCCCTGCTTCGTCAGGCATAGGACAGTTTTCTTTGTCTAGTCTAGGCTCCACACTCGCTCCTCCCTCGTCTGCCGCTACTGCTTCCCTGTCCTTCACTCTTGACTCCGGTGTGTCTGCCTGCTTCTTCCGCGACCACACCACATTCACGCCGCTTGCCACGCATGTCGCTGTCTCACTTGCTGACCCCTCTTCTGGTCCTGTCGTTGCTCGTAGCTACACTATGCTTCTCTGTCCAGCTTTCCCCTCGGGTTCCCTTACAGGCCTGCACATCCCCTCGTTCTCCAGGAACTTAGTTGGTGTTGGCTATCTTCAGGACCTCAGTGTCACCACTATGTTTCATGGTTGCGAGCGGTACGCTGTCTGTACCGAGGCCGCCTCAGGTGCCCCCCTTGCGACATTCCCCGGGGACCCAATGTCTGGCCTCTTTACGCTGGAACGTCCAAGTGTAAAGAGGCCAGACACTGGCACGTCCTTCCCGGGCCCTGTGTGGACGCAGGGCCCAGTGTCAGCCTCTGGCACGGACAAGCTCACTGCCCGCACTGTTCCTAGTGCCTTCCTCGGTTTCCCCCAGTGACTGGCACTTGTACCACCTGCTGTCTCACCGCTTCTTTCACTTCTGTGACACCACTTTCGACGAGTCTGTCTCATTTTACCACCGCTTTCCCCACCGCGGTCTCCTGGTTTCCCCTCCCCTGTTTCTGGTCCCCAATCCCCTGGTCGCCCCTGCTCCCCTTCCTCGCCGTCCTGCCCCATGTGATGTGTCTCACATCACTCCCCTCCCGTCGGTTGTCCCGGTCGAGGACTCGGCTGACTCTGGTGGCCATGCGGCGCAGTTTTCACCGCCTCTCTCTCCCCTGGTGTCTCCTCCTCCCCGGGCACGTCCTTCCCGGGCCCTGCGTCCACACAGGTCGCTGCGGCTTGCATCTGTCGGTCGCTCACTCACCCGTCGCTTCTGTGGGACCACCGCCTAGGTCACCCCGCACTCCTGCGTCTGCGTTACATGTCTCAGCTTGGTCTCGTCCTAGGTCTCCCCGCTTCGCTTACTGCCCTCCCTCCCTTGCCTGCGCGGCCGTGCACGCCCTGCGTCGAGGGCCGGCTGAGCCATGCTGCTCACTCCTCCTTGCTTCGTCCTGCCACCGCACCCCTTCAAACCGTGCACCTGGACGTCTGGGGCCCAGCCTCCGTCCCCGGACCGCGTCGCGAGCGCTACTTTCTAGTGCTCGTTGACAATTACACGCGCTATACCACGGTGTTTCCTTTGGAGCGGAAGGCTGACGTGCCTGACGTTCTTCTCCCGTGCGTCCTAGCTGCCCGCCTCCACCGCGGTCTCCCTGTGCAGTGTCTCCACTCCGTGGCGGCAAGCTCGCCTCTGGTCGGCTTGGACAGTTTTGTCGTGCGGAGGGCATCACGCAGTCTTACACCCTACCGGACTCCCCGCGGCAGAATGGGGTCGCTGAGCGACGCATTGGCTTGGTCATGGAGGTGGCGCGTACCTCCATGATTCATGCTGGTGCTCCCCACTTTCTGTGGCCGTTCGCCATTTGCTACGCTGCTCACCAGCTTAACCTCTGGCCACGCTCCCAGCACCCGCAGGTTTTGCCGACCCTTCTTTGGATCAGGTTTCCTGGTGACGCGTCCGCGTTCCACGTCTGGGGCTGCCTCGCTCACGTCCGTGCCTCTGGCACGGACAAGCTCACCGCCCGCACTGTTCCTAGTGCCTTCCTCGGTTTCCCCCAGTGACTGGCACTTATACCACCTGCTGTCTCACCGCTTCTTTCACTCCTGTGACACCACTTTCGACGAGTCTGTCTCATTTTACCACCACTTTCCCCACCGCGGTCTCCTGGTTTCCCCTCCCCTTTTTCTGGTCCCAAATCCCCTGGTCG